TTTTTCTATATTTTTTTAACGTTGCTTTCAGTCAGTTGTAGTTGATTTTTTAATAAAAATCAAGTCTACAAATTTAAATTAACTAATAGTAATAGAATAAAGTAAAATTAATTATATAAATAAAATAAAATTAAATAAACAATAAAAATCCTTTGCCAACTGTTCCAACCGAAGGATCGAACTTGGAAGCTACAGGCTCGTAGCGCGCAACTCTCCCCACTCGGCTACCGCGCACAGGAAACTGACTACTTGGTTTGCTTGCTTGTACAAAAGACAACAGCTGGCCGTTTTTACCAGTGTTGTCATCGAAAACTCCCCTGAGCCAAGTTAATTCCCAAAAATTGCGTGCATTTGTTAATGCAAATAAAGGTTGTTTATGCAAATAAGCGAGCCCGTTTGTCAACCGTATAAATTCAGTTCGCAAACGTGTACATACAAATATAAATGTATGTACCCAATAAACATTGGGCTTGGTTAACAATTCGAAAATGATTGGAAAACTAACATTTTTTTCAAGTCTCACCTTCGATAACGAATGTGGAATAGGTTAGTATTCGATTCGAGAACTAGGCCATTCTCCAGCAAAACGGAACCTTCGATATCCAATGAATTTTTCCTTCGTTATGAATACGAAATCCAGCCCATTATCGAATTGAAATTTTAATGAGGGAGAGTGATTGTATTATATTTCCATTCGAAAATGAGCTGGATTTCACTTCCTCTCTTGCTACTATGGTTTTCATTTTGTTTTTCGAACCCATCTCGAATATATTTCCAATACACTATGAACGTTGGAAAACTAAGGTTGGTTATGATTTCGTTCTCAGTGCGATATTCATACTGGATATCGAAGGTAATTTTCGAACGTTCGCCAAAATGTTTATAGGGTAGTTTTTCACTGCTTAGCACTGTGTGAGCTTAACCTTTTACCAGACACCCTGTATGTTTGTGCTTACATTTAAGAAATTCTGTTCATGGACCATCCTGTGCGGTATATTTTTGGCCTTCAGGCAACGTGTTGCTATATTAGTCATTATGCAGCGGGTTAGCACCTGCGTCGGTGGTGTAATGGTTAGCATAGTTGCCTTCCAAGCAGTTGATCCGGGTTCGATTCCCGGCCGACGCACAATATTTTTGCAAATTTGTTTGTAATATTTTTTTTT